AGAAGAAATATCGATGGAATAAGAGCATGGGTACTCCGCCCTCTCGTGGATCAGGTGGCCTTGCGCTAAGTTCCGGGAATTCCCGCAGGTGAGTCATAAATCTAACTCTAACATTAACTCCAACCCTCCGGAACTGAGCGCGAAGACATCAATAATATGGGACGTATTTATTCCCGTGCACAGTTGAAATACCGATCCACCATTCCCCGCCAGGCAAAGCTGTGACGCATTTACTAAATTTCGACAGCTTCCTAGGATCCTCGGGAAATGCAAACTAATAAACAAATTACATCCTCCCGGTTTCGCTCTGAAAGCTTAATACAAATAAACGAGCCAAACTTCCTCCCTTTATACAGAAATACTGCGCAATATTTGCAGCTTGCCCATGTGCTACAAGTAGTATATACAGTAAATCACCTAGCTCGTGAAATACCTTCCAAAATTCAGAAATATATTTTGGATTCGAAAAAAATACTTTATAATTGTAGTAATATTGAGTATCATGCGGCCTAATCTGAACGTATTTTGGCCACATCAGAATACCGGCTTTTAATTGATTCCTTTATTTTATGAAAAACGACTACATGATTAGTGTACATATCCTACTGTAGCCGCCGAAGTTCACGCAACATGTCAACATATGCTAAAGGTTGATACTCTTTCGCTAATCGGCATTTACTGAAGTTGTGATACTGATTATCGTGTAGTCCATTCCGAAGTCATTTCAGTCATGATAGGATGCGGGCTTTCGAATTAGCTTCGCGTTGACCACTAACAGAACATACGTACTGTAAAAGTAACTTCTTAAATAGTATGCGTTTTTATCACTGAGTTTGACTGCCTTTATAAATTCAACTATGGAAAACGTAAACAAAAACATTAGTTCTTGTACTCTTTTGGTAGAAAATTACGCCTTCTTTAAATTTATACTTTAAGAAAGGGTATTTTTCGGTTTTAAAAAAAGATTGCTGAATTGCCGAATAATTTTCTAACCTGGTGACTGCTACACTCGAATTGAAGGTTTAAAAACTGCGTACTGTGTACATCCGGTTTAAGTGAAAGTACGTTTTCGCCTACAGTTTGAGGAA